AGGTGGGGGGGGGCTGCTGTCCTGATCCCTACAAAGGAAAGTGTGCAGCAACAACTTTAAGTAATATACAATGGAAATACTCCCCCCCATCCCCTGCAGCCATTACAAGGTACTTCAATTTTTCCTTAAAACATAACACCGTTGTTTATAGGAAGTGTCCAAGCTTCGTCTTCTCTGGCAGAGGGGAACGCTAGAGTTGCCCAGAAGTTTGCCTGATCCTTCCCAGCAGATATGTAAGGAGACCGTGTCAAGGAATTGCCTTTTTCATATAATTCTTCCAGGTTAGTTATGGCCTCCCTTGTTATTAAGGCCTCAGATGCTGTATATTAAATAAACATTTCAGTGACCCAACAGTGTTGTGCCTTGAGACTTTGTTCCTTTTAATTGTACTTAGAATGAATTTCAAAGGGACTGGTACAAGAAATCAGGTGCTGTGGTGTCCATGTAGAGAGTGGGATTGGAATCAAGAACTCTCATGGAGGCAGCAGGCTGAGAAGCATCTGTTGCTTTAAATCAGGTTTCCAACCTTCGGTCCCCAAGCATTCTTGGAGTAGCTCAGTGGCTCAGCTGTGGAGTCAGAGGTTGGGAGTTTGATTTCCCACTGTGCCTCCTGGACAGAGACTGGAGTCAGAGATCCATAGGGTCCCTTCCAGCTCTGAAATGATGATCATCATGATGATGAAACTCCCAGAAGCTTTCACCACGAGCTATACTGGCCAGGATTTCTGGGGATTGTAGTCCAAGAACATCCAGGGACCCAAGGTTGGGAACCACTGCTTTAGATGGACAGAAGCAAACAAAGCAGAAGGCTCCACCTAAATCTCTGCCAGCCTTCGTGCCTTACATGTAATTCTAGAGTAATTCCAAGTGCTGCTGGTTTGGGGGAAGGGGAGAAAAATTACTGGTGAGTTTGCAAAGCATTTTTTAATTTGTAAAATGGCAGCCAAAAAAAAAAAAGGCCCATGTCTTCTGAGTTTATACATGATTTCCTTCTAAGCTCTTTAGGGGTGGGCTAATGATGTTAAGGTGTTTTGGAAAATAAGTTTCAAAATAGCCCCAGACATTATTTTTATAACACATCTTTGTATGCCATGTTATTGGCTGATAGTTTTATTATGCCGGGTTCTCTACTTGGAGTGAATAGAAAGCTGACAGAGTTGATTTTAACAAGGCTGTCAACACTGCATACAGTATGGAAAAATAAAGAGATAGTGTCAATGGAAGAGAATGCTATCCTCGAATAATAGGTTCCTGCTGTTAAATACAAGCTAAAAGGTCAGCCGAAGATTGTTTTCCAAATGGGAGACGTTGAGTCTGTGGAAATGCTCTGTGTTGGCATTGACTCTCTTCATTATGGAGAATGATTGCTGTAAATTTTAATGCTGCATTTCAGGAATTGCATGAATTTCTCAAATCATGTTTTATTTCATATCATTATAAAGCTTTCCTCTCTATATAATTTTCTCTTTCTTTCCTTTCACCGAGGCACTAGATGTGGTCTGTGCTTTAGTAAGCATACTCCTTTGCTTGCTTGCCTTCTTTTGCTCTATGTTTCAGCGAGTGCTGGAGCTGGCTGGCACAAGGCCAAGGAGATCACCCTGACTGTGCCTGAATTGGCCAGTTTCAGTTGTAGCTCCTCATATGCCTTTTTATAACTATCTTCAAGACTTTTGGACTCTGAAACTTGCATGTAAATATACGTCTTTTTTATATAGTCCTCATTCAACAAACCAGAATCTTCCACAAACCAGAGTCCCTTCAGTTTCTGTTGCTTTTATCTTTCTATTCTTGTCCATTTCTCTTAGTTTCTCTCAGAACCATGAGTGCAGGTCTTAAGCTATGTGAAGGTGTGTTTGTTCTAGAATTATTTTCTCCCTCCCTCCCTCTAAGGGAGCTCCCGATCCTGAGAAAACCCATGAAACAGAGTTACTGGAAGCCCATAGCCTTTAGAGGGTCCACCTGTGATTGGGAAGTCTCACATGGAAATATTTGTTTTGCCATGATGCTTACTGTGGGTGACCTTGAAATAGTCACTCCTTTAGCAAAGTTGTTTAAACAGAAAAAGAAAGAAGAGGAGGAATGGAGTTTGAATTTGTTGAAGATGGATTTTTAAAAAGCATAATGCCTATTCTGCACAAAACATACTGAGTCCTGCTGAACCTCTTGGAGGTTGGCAATAGACCTCTGGACCAGCTGAAACTTCCCACAGCTGTCTAAAGAGTGTTGGAGCTACTACTGGAACGTAAGCTTAAGCATTTGTTTTCTGTCTTTAGGCTGCAGGAGAAACCTTTCAGTTTCCGGACTTGTTTCCAGAGACCAAAAAGACCATTGAGCCCGGCTCTTTTGAGGACGTGCAGCAGAAATATATGGAAAAAAAGAAAGAGAAGCTGAGTGAGGATGTCAGACGATCAGGAGTTCCTAAATGGTTTGGACTATGAGAAAATCAACCTCTGTTTTTTTTAAGTTTCTATGGAAGGACTTGAACCATTGTATCAGATGTTGGTCTGTCTCTTGTAATGCCATGATCTGGGTTTTTTAAAACCATGTAACAAGTTGTTGTTTGTACTCATTTTGCACAATGGAATTATTTGCCAAAGAAATGGATAGGTACATGTGGCAAATCAAGAACAGCCCTTTTATTTGCAGCACATAGGTTTCCCTTCTGTAAAGGAAAAGAAGCAGCCAGGTTCCTATCTGTATGGAGAGGGGACCATCCAACCCACCACTGTCTTTCTTCCTGCTCCAGATCAATTATTTGAAGGTTGTTTACTGGAGCAGACAAAGTATATGTAAGGGCTGGGAGAGGCAGCTTCTGTAATGTATGAATTGTGACAATTTAGCTGCTTCTGAATGGTTAAAGAGGCTAATGCTTTGGACATCTTGTGTGCAAGTGATGACACTTTGGGAATACATGGAATTATGGTCTCCTCAGCATTCCTTATAACTGGGATTAGAAGGCAGCATAAAATGTGTTTTCCAGACCTGAAAATAACATTGAAGTTTTGAAATATGGATGCACCAGCTGAAACTGACCCAATAAAAGGCATTGCATTGCCCACTTCCTCTCTCTGTGTGTTGACTCTTAATCTGATTCTGAAGGACTTACCTATTGTTTCACTGTTCTCCCCTTTTTCCTATGCCTAGTAGTGAAGCAAGTTGACTTGGAAGAAGAGCTTGCTTTTTCATCTTTTCAGGAACTTCTTCATCCTTTGTAGAGGAAAAAAAAATATTTCAGTCTGATTTCTGTTTTCTACTTGTGCTTTCAAGTTTACACTGCAGTTTTTAATCAAAACAGGCCCACGGGAACACTGCTGTATGTAGAAGTTTTGATTGCTTGCTTTTTGAGGAATCATTAACTCAGATATAGAGGTCTGTGGCTGGATATCCTAGAGGCTTGTTCAGATTCCGAACCCAACGGTGTGTTCTGGTAAACATGCCCTTTTGGTTTCACCAGTTTTTTTTTTAATTTAGCAAAACCAATGCCACTTTCGGTATGCACCAAAACATGGAAAAGCAGGTTGGCCATGGCAACCTTAACTATACAGGCATCCTTCAGTTGTGCAATTCTAGGGCTGCATTGTACCTTGATGGTGGCTGGTGTCATATGGGTTTCACCTACTGCAGTGGCCAAAGTCCTGTCTGAACACGAGGTCAGAGCATACAAAAAATACCGTAGCTGTTTATGGAAAACACCTCTCTGTATCAGTCTCAGGAGTAGATGTGAGGAAGGCCCCTCTAATTCCCTGCCAATTAAAAGGAAATCCATGGAAAAATTGTTGCCACCAAGCACTGCAATCCTTTTCATTCTCACTGGGAACATTTTCATTGTTGCTTTTATTGATGTTAAGTGCTGCCAAGTCATTTCCAACTTACAGCAACCCTACGACTTAACAACCTCCAAAAGGTTCTACTGTCAACAGCCCTGTTTAGGTCCTGACTACTTTTCTTGAGTCAATTAATTTTAATGTTGAGTTTTCCTCTTAGTGCTTCATGACCATCTCTTATTGAAGTTATACAATTCTTCTGTAGTCCTGATTTTTGTCTTAATATTAGAGTTCGGATATTCGTATATGAATATTGGCACCACAGGTGACTCAAAGATCCAGTCCCTGCCCCCCCCCCGAACTGGCTGGTCCTCTCGCTGGTCCCCATGTGGCACACATGGCTGACATCCACATTGCTGTGCCAAACATGGATGCAGCCTGGCTGTTGCTTCCATGCTTCTCCGTGCAGCCAACCATTCCGGTGAGGAAGTGGGATAGAGTCTTCCCACTCAGCTGTTGGATGGTCAGCTGCACAAAGAGCTGGAGAAGCACCAGTCAGGATGCTTCCATGTTTGGCACGACAACATGGCCAACAGCTAAACATTTTGCTGATTTTTTTTTTCCAGATATGAACCTGGAAGTTGGTGGAACAGTTAAGAGGCAGACAAGGAACAGACAAAAATATAAACCCTGCCTAGTTTTCCATGGAGTCCACACTGTGGAGCCTTGATAGCTGGAGTTTTTTGGGTGGTATTTATTACAGAATGTTAGCATTACTTGGGGCATCTGTTGAATTCTTCCATGGACAGTACAATATATTAAATGCTTGAATATCTATTTAATGGATATTAGTGGCTCTAATTCTATACTAAAAAGCATGTTAGTAGCTTACTGTTCTTCTTTGATCTACCCAGGTAATGGAATATAGTGCTGGCTGCTTCAACCTAGTTTGTAGTCCAGCAAAATGAACATACATTTTTCCATCGATTTACATGGGTCTAAACAGCACGGTTTTGGTTATACAGAAGGTTTTTTCAATCAATAAATATTCAACAAATACTTGCCGAATACAAGTATTTATTGAATACTTACATTCAATAAATACTGGGTGGCCCCTAGCCACATAGAACCCCAAAAGTTCAATACTGAAGGTCTACTTATCTCCAAACACAACATCTCTAATTCAGTCTCAATCATAAGGACCTTTAAGGATCATTACACATGGCATTATAGAAACGGTTATCAGCACTATGGAAGAGAATTCTGAGAGAGAACTGTTGTCTCTCTCTGTTTCTCTCGCTGGCTCGCTGGCTCTCTGTGTGTGTCTGTGTATGAATGAGCTGTTAATGTTTTGTAGTTAAGGTTTTGGGAACATAAAAGTTATACACAAATGTTGAACTACTAACCCTAGCATCATTGAAGGGAGAAGTGTATTCACCTGCCTATGAATATCTTCAAAGAGTAGACTCTGTATCTATTCTCTAAGTGTTCTTTGGGGAGGCAAATTGCTCTGTACTCAGTCCTACTTTTCCTAGTAAGTAACATATCAAAACCTTTAAATAGCAAAGAACTATTTTAAATTTGAAGTGTGTGATACTTCTGTTCCCCTTGAAGAAAAGAGTACCAAGATCTTTCATCTTTTTAATTGACTTGTGTATGTACCAGGCATGATTTTGAATAATCTCAATAATTTTGTAGGATAGTATTGATAAATAAGATGTAGTAAACCTTGATTCATCTGCTTAAATGAAAATAGGTGAATAGATACTCTCTTTGAGGCAACTGTAAATATGGCCTTGATTTGCATGCATATGTGCTTGTGTGCACAAACACACACACAATGTTTTTGTTTGTATTAGGCTGCTAATGTTGGGCGCAATTTGCTTTGATATCTGGCTTATTATGCCTTTTTTATTTATAAATTTTTAAAGATAAACTGGTGTCTTCCTAGAGAAGTTGTCTTTTTGCAACTCTCATACAACGTGCATAGAATTAGCTTCTACACCATCTTACATGTAAATCCAAATTGCCCTGAGCATGTTAGGACAGCCAGCTAGTTTTGAGCTCTGTCATTTGGGTTAAATCCCATTCCTGCATCTGATTTTTTTTTTAAAGGAAAAGGTCACCAAAATGTATATTTTCATGCACATTTCTCCTGATGCATGCATTTGTACGTGCTGTATGTACCAATTTTTTCAAGCAGTTAGGGTGTTTTAAAACTTGGATTTGGTTCTTCTTCGTGGCCTTTGTGAATGCACACATATGGGTCTTGACTGCGCCTGCGCTGACATTCTCAGAAGATTCTAGAGCTAAAAGTAACAATTTTATGGTGCAATTCCCCACGAGGCACATGCTCCTCCCACCCACCACTCCTCTCAATTCCTGGTTTGCATAGTTTTAGTATAGTTCTTCATGTTTATACAGTTTCCCCACAAATACACACATTTTTATACACATTTCCCCCTGACATATGTATTTTGGAGGTGAGTCTAAAGTCAACAAAACATGTTATTCTTTAAACTGCTGCAAGACTTTTCTGTCATTGCCAACTTCCTTGGTATGAGGAGGTGCTTTTATCATTTCAAAATTGCTTTGCAAGGTGAAAAGTGCAAATATTGAAAGATAATTATATTGCTCTGTGCATGAAATTTGGAAATTCAGGAATTTTGTAAATTTGTATCAAGTAATGGAATATCAAGAATGGAATTTTCCCCTTTCTCTAGCTGAGTGTAGAGAGAAAGAGATAAAGTTTCTTATTTGAAAGGGAATTGGGGATTATTGACACATAAACTCACTTACAGTATGAGCTTCTATAGGTGAATGATTCTTGGGTTACATGAGAGAACTCTTATTTCTTTACATCACTTCAAATATGTCATTTTCCAGTGGAGCCAGTTCACATATTCAGGTACTTTATCTGAAGTATATCATAAACAAGCAATGTGCACATAAATTCTAAGTTAGATCTATAGGCTTTTGTTAAGGAAAAAGAACAAACTGTAGGTGGAAGATGGGAAATTATGGAGTAGAAGTAGAATCCCAACACACAGTGGTAGGTCAAACCCAGTAATCTGGAATCTATGTCTTATAAAGTGATACAAGCATTGGAAATCATCATCATTGAATCATAGAAAAATTAAATTAGAAGGGGCCTGCCAGGCCATCATGTCCTACCCCCTACTCAATGCAGGAATACAATCAAGCCATATAATAATAATTTCTTTCTACATTACAATAATAATAATTGTGTGCCATCAAGCCACTTCTGACTGATGGTTGGTGACCCTTTTCAGAGTTCTCTAGGCAGAATACTCAAAGTAGGTTTGCCATTCCCTTCTTCTGGGGCATCCTGAGACTGTGCAGCTTGCCCAAGGCCACACAGGCTGGCTCTTCTCTCAGGAGGCACAGTGGGGAATTGATCTAAAGGGGCAACAGAGGATGGAATAGCTTCCATGTAAGGAAATAGCTTCCATGTAAGGGAAAAATATGACTAAGGTGAGGTGGTAGAAGTTTATGAAATTATAGATGAAAGAGAGAAAGAAGGAGACTTACACTACTGAAAACTCACAAGGTGCCAATGAGATAGATGAGCAGTAGGTTCAAGGCAGAGAATGAGCTCTACCATTTTAAATGGTGAAAAAATAGTGAAGTGATGCAGAGTGGGAAACCCCTACAGAATCACATTCAGGAAAGGGGATTTTTTTTCCAGACAACCCATGGCCATGCTGATGGGTTTGGGGAGTTGTAGCCCCCACCCCAATAATTCTTTGTCTAGAGCAATGTCCACTTGCACTGTTTGCTTTCTCTGAAGAGGGGACTGGGTCCTTAAGGAGGCTTCATTTGAAGTTGCCCTGCTACTTGGAAAAGCATTGAACCTTCCCCGTGGACACCTTATTTTCTCCCTAACCCGCCTGCCTTTGGCCACAACAAATGTTTTTCATTCAAACTTGAAATCAGAACAACTCATAAAAATGTTTACAAGAAGACAGCTGTTCCCCTGAGAGGCACTCTAAATAGGATTTTACGCACACCCCTTCTGCTCATTAGCTGCCTTTAACCCTCACCCCCCCTTCCATTTCCCCTTTTGACAGTCTGATGTGTGGTTTGTTACTTACAACTCCTATGAACTGCCTACCCCCTTCATGTCCCATGACCAAAACAAATATTGCAGAGTGCGTCATGATCTACTTAGGCTAGCAGGTTGATCCAAAACAGAGGACGATCGGGGAGACCTTGCCATACAGTAGTTAATGAGAAAAAGCACTGGATCCACATACAGCAATTCCTAAAAATCAACATAT